AATTATTTGTATCACTGGCAGAACAAAAAAAGAGAGGGGTAGCACTGTACATTAAGGAAACAATATGGGCCAAACAAATTTACAAAGATGAAGAGGGTAGAATTCTGGTCATGGAAATAATAGTAAATCAAAAATCGATTCTATTACTAGAAATCTATGCCCCCAGTGGGGGACAGGAATAGTTCTATAATAAACTGCACAATATCATTTGAGATACAGAATGTGATAACCTCTGTTAGTTAGGAGATTTTAATGCGATTGTAGACAAAGAATTAGATATAGAAGCAACAAATTAAAAAAAGGAATTAGAAGAACTTTGTCTGAAACTTTTTTTTAAAATGGTAGATGAATTAAATTTACAGGACACTTGGAGGGAGAGAAACCAGGGGAAGAAGCAATATACATATTACTCTAACAGACATCAGTCCTGGTCCAGACTTGACATGGTATGGATGTCAATAGAATTGAATGCAGAAGTAAAAGAAGTAGAAATAGAGACAAATACATGGGCAGACAATAACCCAATGAGGGTCTGTTGGAAAGGGCAAAAAAAGAAGAAGAAGAAGAAGAAGAAGAAGAAGAAGAAGAAGAAGAAGAAGAAGAAGAAGAAGAAGAAGAAGAAGAAGAAGAAGAAGAAGAAGAAGAAGAAGAAGAAGAAGAAGAAGAAGAAGAAGAAGGACTCTAAGTAGGTCAATTCTAAAAGAGGAAAAATTTAGGCTGACAATCGAAAAACAAATGGACTTTTTCTTTAAAGAAAACAAGAATGAGGATACATCCCATGTATGTATACATGGGACATGGTGGCTCAGAGGCTAAGACGTTGAGTTGGTCGATTGAAATGTCAGCAGTTCAGCAGTTCGAATCCCTAGTGCTGTGAGTTCCCATTACTTGTCCCATCTTCTGCCAACCTAGCAGTTTGAAAGCATGTAAAAAATGCAAGTAGATAGATTGGTGACAAAATTTTTAAATATGCTTACGGCAATATATCCCAAATAGGAGGCCAGAGCAATAGTGAATGGAGAGGTGATAAAAAAATTTAAAATCCATAATTACAACAAACTCAAAACAACAGAAAAGGACAGACTTGGCGGAATGGGAAAATGTTCAATTATCATTGATTGGGAGGATATCAAGATGAATATATTACCTAGAATTTTATATTTGTTCCAGACAATTCCAATTAGATTGGGAAAATATTTTTTCAAAGAATTGAATAAAATAGTGTTAAAATATATTTGGCAGGGAAAGAAGGCGATGATTAAATTAAGGTTGTTACAAGATGCCAGAATGAGAGGGGGTTTTGGTTTACCTAACTGGGAACTTTATTATCAAGCGACAAGTTTGATGTGGATCAAAGAATGGATAACGTTAAGAAATACCAGATTATTGAATTTAGAAGGAGATGATTTGTTGTTGGGGTGGCATGCTTTTTTATGGTATAAAGGAACAAAAGTACAGGGGTATTTTAGAAGACATCATATACGTGAGGCTTTGTTATTAAACTGGGAGAAGATTAAAAAACAACATTATTTGAAAATTCCAGTCTGGGTATCAATGATTGAAGCATTTTCATATTCAGTAATATTTAGAAGGGAACAAATTGTTAGATATAGTGAATTAATGGATGAAAAGAGTGAACTTAAATCAAAGCAAGAATTGGAAGAAAAAGGTTTTAAGATGGATTGGTTTTCTTATTTGCAAATACGTTCTAGATATGAAGAAGATTCTAAGCAAGAAGGTTTCTATAATATTTTGATTAACTTAGATAAAATTCTAATGGGTTCTAATGACTATGTAATTAAAAAATTGTATGGTTATTTATTAGATGTAAAATTGAAAGAAGAACAAGTTAAAGAAACAATGATAGCATGGGGGAAAATTTTGGTTATGGAATTGATTTAGAGAAATGGCAAAAATTGTGGTCACAAAATTATAAAATGACAATGTCAACAGCATATAAGGAAAATTTGTATAAGATGTTTTACAGGTGGCATTTACCCCTGACGAGAATTGCCAGAATGTTCAAGAACAAGTCTGAAAAGTGCTGGAAATGTCATCAGATACCAGGCTCATATTACCATATGTGGTGGACATGTGTAGAAGCCAAAAGATATTTGGACTAAAATCCACACATGGCTGGAAAAAATGACAAAGAAACACATAGACTTTAAACCAGAGATTTTTTTATTAGGAATTGTGCCAGAAACATATAACAGAGAATTGAGATATTTGATTGTGAATGTATTGACAGCAGCTAGAATCGTGCTTGCTAAAAACTGGAAAAATGAGAAAATACCAATGCAAGATGAAATTATTAAGAAAATCATGGAATGTGCTGAAATGAGTAAATTGACATTTGAAATTAGAGAAAAAGAAGATAAACAATATTATAAGATATGGGAATTATTCTACCAATGGCTAGATACCAAAACATGGAAATGAAATATGAATTATAAAATGAATGTTATAATATAATATGTGAAAATAATATTTTTTTGGAATGATAACGCCATTGTTAGATAAATGACCAATGATGATAATGATATAAAGATATATATTAGATTGATAATATGAGAAATTGGATACTTAGTAAAATATGAATATGGGGATGAAGCACAAAGAATTTGTAACCGATTGACACACTGTTTGTAATTGTTAATGGAAGATGGATTTTTATGTTTTGTTTGTTTAAAAAAAAAAATCAAAAAAAAAATTAAAATCCAGAAAGGCACAAGACAAGGGCGTCCATTATTTCCATTGTTATTTATATTGACTTTGGAAGTACTAACAAGAATAATAAGAAAAGACAGATTACAGGATTGGAAAATAAAGGAGAAAGTTACAAATTACAAGCTTTTGTGGATATACTAGAGGAACCATTGCAATCAGGTTTGAGGCTTATGGGAGGTATTAGAGGAATATGGAGAAATAGCTGGACTAAAAGTAAATAAGGAAAAAACCAAAATGATTGCTAAAAATATGACAAATAAACAGAAAGATGATTTGACCAAGGGAATAAATATACAATTAGTAAAAAAGGTAAAGTATCTAGGGATTAATTGACAGCAAGATGCACATTGATTAAGGAGGACAATTATATTAAACTATTAAATCAAATAAAAGCAGACTTGGAGAGATGGGGAAACATCCAATTCCTTGATGGGTAGAATAGCAACTATTAAAATTAATGTTCTGCCAAAATTAATCATCTTATTTCAAAATACACCTATAAAATTAGAGAGTATTTTGATAATTTGAATAAAATTGTGTTGAAATTTATATGGCAGGGGAAAAAGTCAAGAATTAAATTGAAACTACTTCAGGAGGTCAAAAAGGAGGATTTGGTTTGCCTGATTGGGAACTATCTTACCAAGCAGCAACGATCACCTAGGTCAAAGAATGGATAATCCTAAGAAACAAAAGATTATTAACATTAGAAGGTCATGACATTCAAGCAGGATGGCATGCATTCCTCTGGTATGAAAGACATAAGGCACATCAATATTTCCAAAGACATCACATACGACAGGCATTATTGGAGATTTGGAACAAAATAAAAAAACAGAACTATAGGGAAATACCGATTTGGCTTTCCACCCTAGAAGCGGTGGTATATTGAAATCTTATCAACTGGGGAAAAATTGTGACATACAAAGATATATTAGATGAACAGGGGAGATTAAAATCGAGACTGCAGCTAAAAGAACAAGTGTTCGAATTGGAATGGTGGTCATATTTATAAATTCAGTCAAGTTATATGAAAGATATGAAAACATGGGGGATCCACAAAAATTTAACGATATTAGATAAAGTTTTATTGGGGACAGAGGAAAAAGTGATTAAAGCAATATATAAATTTTTATTAGAATACAAAATGGAGGAAGGGCGTGTTAAAGAGATGATGGTGGTATGGGCAAAGAACTTTGGGTACAATATCGAATTGGAAAAGTGGGAAAAATTGTGGGGAAAAAACAGGAAGTTAACTTTGGCCACGTCGTGCAAAGAGAACCTATATAAATGTTTTACAGGTGGCACCTACCACCACCTAGATTAGCCAAAATGTATAAAAATTTATCACCTAAATGCTGGAAATGTGATCAAATACCAAGTACCTATTACCACTTGGTGGACATGTAGAAAAGCAAAAGAATATTGGGAAAGGATCCAAATGTGGTTAGAAGGAATGACAGGACAAAAAGTGGAATTCAATCCACAACTATTTCTATTAGGAATTATAAAAGAAGATTTAAGTAAAGTGTTAACATATCTAACATTGCACATCATAACAGCAGCAAGAATAGTTTACGTCCAACAATGGAAGAGTGAAAACATACCGAAAGAATTGGAAATAATAAAGAAAATACTTGAATGTGCAGAGTGTGATAGACTGATGTTAGAACTGAAAAATAGAGACAGAATACTATGAGATTTGGAATAAATTTTATCAATGGTTAGACCTAAGGAATAGAAGTCAGAACAAATAAGAACAAGGAGGTATAGCTCGAAACAAGATGCAATATATGTAATATAGTATGTATCTGTAAATATGTAAAAGAAATATGTGTATAGAATTAGTAGTAATGCATATTGAAGATATAAGAAACTTAGGCTATAATATAATAAGTTATATTTTGTAGGGCGGAGAGATCACCAAGACAGTTCCACCATGTCCAACTTTTTTTTTTAACAATAAAGGTTTTTTTAAAAAAGAATTTGGAGTATAAGGAAAGAAGTATAAGGAAAGAAGGAGGACAAAAAGGAGAAAAATATGGTTTAGTGGGTTTTTTATATTTTTAATAAGAAATTAGAAATAGAAATTTAAGAAATGTCTAGTATTGAAGAGGTGAGAAGTAGGCATAAGCCTATTCTGGGAAAAGCTAGTGGAGAGAAAGTCATTTTATTTTGTTGAATTTTGTCCAGGCAATAGAGTGAAACTTCCCTTTAAATACAGTGTTATTTTAATTTTGTTTTCATTTCCTTCCTTTCTTTGGGAATTCCAGTGAAATGAAACAGAAGCTTGATGAAGAGGGTAACAAGTGCAGCATTCTTTCCAAGCATGAGAGATTTAATGAGCATTGTTGCATGTGTTGCTGCTCCCCATTCAATTTTCTCATCAATACTAAACGACAGTGCCAAGATTGCAAATACAACATCTGCAAGAACTGCAGCTTTTATCAGAAGAAAGAGAAAGCGTGGCTCTGCAACATGTGTCAGCAAGCTAGGTGAGTATTTATTGTGACATGACAAGCTGATGCCTTCTGACTTCTTTTTCCCCACTATTAATTCATTAAGTCGAATGTCACATGAAAAGACGCATTCAGTATTCCAGAAATTTCTTATGGTGCTGTTGGATATTGATTCTTTGGAAAATCATATAAATTTGTTGGAAGATTTTGCTTTCTTCATGAAGGAAATTGTTTATTTAATTGTGTTTTATTTTCAAAATGGTTTGATGAGATGATAACTCAGTACCTTGACATACTTGATCATTGGGTGCTATCTAACAAAATGAAATTCAATGGTGAAAAAAGTAAGGTTCTACATTTAGGCAAGAAAAACAAAATAGGTACAGTATTTGTGGTACCTCGCTCAATAGTAGTAACTATGAGAGGGATCTTGGAGTCCTAGTGGACAATCACTTAAATATGAGCCAGCAGTGTGCAGCAGCTGCCAAAAAAGCCAACACAGTTCTAGGCTTCATAAACAGAGTGTTGAGTAGTGGGTGCAGACAGAGGACACAGGACACGTCCGGCAGTTCAACAGCTTTATTCAGCTCCAGTAACAGCAATGCTAATGCGAGCCGCAGCAGCCCTTTTTAAACCGGAGCTGTCCACGGCTTCAGCCACTGACGTGCACTTAATTTTCCTGCTCTAGCTACTGGCTCCTGATTGGTCCCTGTATCCGTCTATTCAATACTTAACACCCCTCCCCTCTAGGCTGGCATCAACCAGTCAGGTTCTTTTCAGACAATGTAATCACGCAATTAGGCGGGTTGCTTTTGGGCGTGACTTGACCTGCACAGTTCAGTTGACTCGGTGATTTCGCAATGAGAGGTTGGGTTCTGTGTCTCTCCCATGGGCACTGCTGGGATTCTTTCGAACTCGGCCAATGGCATGGGCCTATCTTTTTGGATATTTATTTCTTCATTCCCCTGCTGGACTGGTGGACTGTCTCCAACTTCGGGAAATCATCGTTGGACATCAGATAAGTGCCCATCGACTCTATTCAGGTTTGAGTGTTGTTGTGCATTTGGTTGTGCATTGTGTAGGGCCTGGTCTATTTCTGCGGTTTCTGTGGTGTTTCCTCTCTTGCTCCTGGGTTTCCTCTTGTATCTCATGTTCCTTTCTAACTATTCGGCCTCTGAGTTGGTCTGTGTCTTTTCCACTCTTGGCCGTCCTCTGTTTCTATTCTGTATGATAATGGGCCTGTGATTTGGATTATTTTCGCTGGAACTCATAGGGGGTTTCCACTGAAATTCTTTGCATACACCTTATCCCCCACTTGGAACTGTCTATATTTACTAGTGGAGTCTACTGGTTTTTCTGCGCTGTATTGGGGGTGTAGTTTGTCTAAATTGAATCTCAGCTTCCTCCCCATCAATAGTTCTGAGGGACTTCTGTGCGTGGCAACCCATGTGTTGCGAACAGTCTCCATAGGACTCGGATGACCGTTTCTGTTGTTGTTGATGACATGAGATTTACTTCTAGCCATTTAGAGCATGCATTGACAGTGATTAAAAATGTGTTTCCCTGGCAGGGTCTCGCAAAATCAATGTGTATGCCTGACTATGGTGTCTTAGGTCTTTCCCAATTGTGTGTGGGTGCTGCGTGTGGTGTCGTCCAAGATTCTTGCTAGGGTGTGCACATCGCTACCCATTTTTCTATTTCCTTGTCCGTTCCCGGCCACAAGACATAACTTCTAGCTAATGCCTTCATTTTAACTATTCCTGGGTATCCCTAGTGTAACATTTCCAGAATATCATTTCTCAACATTTTTGGAATGATTACTCTATCTCCCCACAACAAACACCCTCTCAATCCCGATAGCTCAGTCTGTCGTGTCTTGAATGATTTGAATTCCTCGTCTATTTCTGTCTCTGGCCAGCTTTTCCATATCCAGTTCAAAACCCGTGCCAAAGTCCTGTCTCTTCCTGTTGCTCTTGCGATGTCTGCGGCTGTGATCTGTGTGTTCGCGAGAGTCTCTATCAACAACGTGGTTGTGGATGGCGCTGGGTCTTCCACCGGTTCCAGCAGTGGGCATCTACTGAGGACATCTGTGTGGTCAATCATGTTTCCCAGTCTATATAGCAGCTGGTAATTATAAGCGGCGAGGAATTCTGTCCATCTCAGCATTCGTGGAGATAACACGCGGGGTGTAGGTCTATCTCTCGCGATGATTCCCGGAGTGATTTATGGTCTGTTATCAGCTCGAACTTTCTCCCGTAGAGATATTCATGGAATCTTTTGATTCCAGCCACTGCAGCTAGTGTTTCTTTGTTGAGCTGACTGTCATTCCTTTCCGGTTTGGATAGGGTCTGAGAGTAGAAAGCAACTGGGGCTTCTCTTCCATTGGGCATGCAATGGCTTAAGATTGCTCCTATTCCAAACGGCGATGCGTCACAGATTAGTCTCACTGGTAATGTTTCACTATACTACACTAGGATGTGTCTGATGTTAGCAGTCTTTTGATTTGTTCAAAGGCATTCGCTTCCTTACGTCCCCAAATCAAGGCCGTCTTTTTGTCCAGTAAACAGTGTAAAGGTTCAGCAATCTTGGCTTTCTGTGGCAGGAAAATGTTGTAGAAATTTACAGGAATTTACCCCAGGAATGCCTGCAGTTCTGTTCTATTGGTTGGGGTTGGATCTTCTTGAATTGCTTTTAGCTTGCCCATGGTAGGTAATATTCCAGAACCGTGAATCAGGTATCCCCAAAATTCAACCTTTTCTACTGCTAACTGGCATTTGTCTTTTTTTAATTTTCAACTCCACTTCTTGGAATCAAGTTAATACTGCCCTTAGTTGTTGCTGCAGTTGTTCCTGACTAATGGCTGATATTAGGATATCATCGAAATAGGGGATGACTCCTTCATTCCCTGTAGGAGGTGCTCCATGAGGCTCTGGAACAGCCCCGGGCCCACACTTACCCCAAACTACAATCGCCTGCATTTGAATGCTCCCTTATGTGTGACTATCATTTGTGCCTCTCTATGACGTCATCAACTGGCAGCTGTTGAACTGTTGGTACGCCTGAGCCAAATCGAGTTTTGTGAATATTTTTCCTCTACCCAGGGAATGTAACAAATGTTGTACAACAGGCACGGGGTATGCGCTCTGCTGTAAAGCCTTATTCAGGGTACTTCTATAGTCACCACACAAACGCACTGACCCATCTGGCTTCATGGTAGTTACTCTCGGTGTCTTCCACTTGGCATGGTCTGTCGGCTCTAAAACCCCTTGGGCAATGAGTTTATCCAGTTGCTCATCAATTTTGGGCCGTAGAGCAAAAGGAACCCTTCTAGGCTTTATTCGGACAGGGGTAACTTGGGGATTTAGGTTAAATGAGATAGGGGTCCCCGTGTACTTGCCTAGTTTTCCATCGAAGACATCTGCGAAATCCCATAGGAGTTCTTCTTCCCAGCTATTGTCTTCGACTCGGTTGATCCCCATCGCTGCCAGACCCAGAACCACTCCAACCCCAGTAGGCTAGGCCTGTCCCGGTCTACTATGGTTAAGGGTAGTTGTCCTCTGAATTCTTTGAACTCTACATTGAAATAACCGATTCCCATTACTGGAATTTGGTTTCCTTGGTAGTCCTTAAGTGTGAGTCTCTGTGGCTTGAGTGTGCTGGCTGTGATTCTGGGTATTAGTTGTTTGATGGTTGTCCAGGAGACCATGGAAAGGTAGGATCCTGAGTTGACCTCCATCTTGCATGGTCTCCCTTCTATGGAAACGGTCACCGCCATCTTTTTTGCTTTTCCCATGCTCGAGTGGCCAACTATTATGGTCTGGTGTGTTTCCCCTCTCTCTGAGCAGTGGTCCTCATTTTGGCAGTTTCTTCTGAACGGTTGTTTCCTGTTGCTTGTTTGGAAACTCCCGGCTTTTGGCGGAGGGCTGGATTGTCTGGTTCTGCGGGAACCTGGTTGTGATGCTTTGTAGGCTCTTGTGATGTATCCTTTCCAGTCGCAGCACTGGCAGATCGCATCTCTGAATCTACACTCAGTCTGGGGATGGTTTCCCTCTCATCCAGCACACCAAAATTCCTTTTTTCCTTTTTCTTAGTATCTCCCTTTCTGTTCCGAATGGAGATGATGTACTTTGTCCTCGTCTCTGTCCTCGGATTTGGTCTCCACATCCTCATAGTGGACTGTGGAATCTTCCTTTGCTTGCAGCCCCTTATTCATCTTTTTCATCACGGCTGCGGACTTCCGTGACGCTTCGGTTGCAGTCGCTTCCTCCATGGTTTCTTGGAATGTTATTCTTGGTTTCACAAGCAATTGGCTTTGTAGGGTGAGGTCTCACAGTCCCAATACCAACTGGTCTCTCATTGCTTCGTACAGATTGGAGAATTCACAGGCAGTGGCTATCTCGCGCAGGGTCGCGACGAACTCGCTAATGGACTCTCTCTCCCTTCTTTTGGTGTCTCTTGTAGAATTTGTGTCATTTCACGAGGGATGAGGCTTGGGGAGCGTAGTGTGCCTCAGAATTCCTTGTAGCACCGGGCAGGTCATGGTTCTCAATTCCGCCGGAGATGCTAGGACTTTTGCCACTTTAAAAACGGCGGCTCCGCAGTGTGTGTGGAACAAATGCTCTTTTCCTTTGTTCAGAAAGGCTCAAAAGATTGCTAGCTTCCAGGAACTTGTGGAAACATTCCATATAGGAATCCCAGTCTTCTCCTACTGGGTTGAATAGCGCAGGTAGAATTATTGAAGACATCTTGTATTGGCCGGTTGTAGTTTTGATGGCCGTTGATTGCCACGTGGAGAGTCTGTGCAGCCTAGTATCCTATTGTCCTTCTGGAAATCCTGACCTCGTCATCAGGGTTGAGTAGTGGGTGCAGACAGAGGACACAGGATATGTCCGGTAGTTCAACAGCTTTATTCAGCTCCAGTAACAGTAATGGCAATGTGAGCCACGGCAGCCCTTTTTAAATTGGAGCTGTCCATGGCTTCAGCTACTGATGTGCGCTTAATTTTCCTGCTCTAGCTACTGGCTCCTGATTGGTCT